CTCAATCTCACCTGCAACATAAACTCCAGATAAATACTCAGTAGAACGCAGATGTTTTGAACCTTTTAATTACAGTTCCTTTAAACTCAGCTGGAGAGAAGCAGGCATCCAAATACAGCACAATAACTTAGCCCCTTCCTGCCTCATCCTGAACTGCTGGTAGCCTACACCCCCAGAAAGTCTTCATCCCCCTAACCAATGGAAATCCTGCCCACTCTTTGCTGCAAATGAATGAGCAATTGTATGTATTTACATCAAGTGAGTGTCTCCCAACTTGCAAAAATCATGTCCTTAAATTAGCATTTCTCAGTATCACTAATTTCCACACTCCCACCCTCTTCAGGATCCACTTTTGACCATGCCTCTAGCAATATTCACTGAGCTCAGTACAGGTATAATATGCATCAACTCCCATAGGGGAAGGGAAATGATAGCCAAGAACCTATTCCTATACCTCAAAGGTTAACTTTCAGATCCTCTGAGCTCAGTGCAGAAGCAACATACTCCATCTCCTATAAAAGTGGAGGGGGAGGAAGACAACACTTTGAACCTCCTAGTCCACTGTCTTTCACATCTAGTACAAACCATCTCAGGACTCATTCCTGATCTTCTTTCTGGCAAGATATTATAAATACAGGAGTAACAGATTTTCACTTATTCCATCCCTTAAACCTAGAAAAATATCTCTTATTCTAGAAGGGTATGGCAAGCACTATATATAGCAATCGTGAAAAACTGATAGTTAAAAGCCAAGGTCCTGCAGGGCCTCACTTGTTATTATTTGCAAACCAAAGATATTATATTAGAAATTAACATTACTTACTTACTTTCTGACAAAGTATATGATACTGAATAGGTCTGTTCCCAGATTCCTCCTGCAGCTGTATCTTGAGATGTGTTAGATGCTAATTCTTGTTTTCTGAAACAAAAACAACTAGTAAATAATCCTGCACTGGCAGGGAAGGGTGAACAAAATCTTTTAACAGGGCTCATTCATTTCTTACTTCAGTGAAACCATATTGGTGTATTTAATATACCAGGTTCTCAGTTTGATCCATTAAAACTGGATTTTTCAAAGGGGAGCAGATGAATCAAGGACTAGGAATGACTTTAGGAGGCTTTCACATATAGGTTACTAGTTCAAATGCAGACCAGGATTTTAATTGCTAAAAATTTCATTCCTGTTGTTACCTCAATGAAATGAATTTGTAGTCTCAATCTACTTTCTAGTGGATAAATTTCTGTCACAAACCAGCATCATAACTGGCCCCTTTTAGTGGCAGTCTCAACATAGAGGTCTAAGACTGAATTGGTATTGCATGTCACAATTAAGGCATATTGAGGGAAGGGGGGAAACCTTGCACTACCACTAATCCACTTGTAACCTCTGTAAGTGCATATGAGGTTGTTCATTTTCAATACCAATTCCATTTTAGGCCTCTACTGAAACTACCAATCGGAGGACCAAATGTCATGCTGAGTTGAGAAATGGGGACTCCACTGGAAACTGTCCTGAGTCTAAACATGAATTTTACATCTCTCTGTCCCCTCTGTAAATTTTTTTGCACTACCTCCTGAAACTGGATCCATGTGACTGAACATTTGTCCAAGTCCTGTGAGGATTTGATTGTGGGATTGGGGCCTATGTCATTAAAATCTTGGGCCACATATAAACTAATTTAAAAAACACTCTCCCTTTAAAAAAAAGTGACAATACATGTAGTTTTAACTGTATGATTGTCTTTGAAAATGTTACTTGAAAAATGTTAAATAGGATCTTAATCCTTGGGCATAGAATTAACATTTATCAGTATAGATAGATATTAGGGAAAAAATTTAGAGCCCCATTCTGCAAATGCTTGTGGACATGTGTAACTTAACTCCCACATAAATACTCCAGTAGAGCTCAGTATCGCTGCTCATGTGAATGGTTACATGTGTGATTAAGTGTTTGCCAGTTTCGGGCTTATGCCACTTCTCATTCACAAGTGTGAGGAAAATTGATGGGTGGAGGATATTAAGATGAATGAAGAATATCAGTTTCATATAGCTTTCTTATCACATTTGATTGCACAATGTCTATGATAATAAAAGATAACTGTGTAAATGTTAATGGTAACACTGTAGTTCTGCATGGCTTAAATAAAGTACAAGGTTATTCAAATGTGAAGATGGTCAGAAAAGTTAGGCTCCAGTACTGGAAAAAATTCTACCAGGATAAATCCTGAGCTGGCACAGGACCCAGTGAAATTAATTGGTCTTTGTGCTAGTGTACAGACTTGAGTGTGCTGAAGCAGAAAGGTCTATATTGGTAAAAATGTCTCCTCCTTAGACATCTGATTCCTTTGTCTGTCAAATATCAGCACATACATTAAAGAAAAATACAGGTTTCTTTTCTTGTTTTTCTTTTTAGAACCAATACAACTAACAAAGAGCAATATATATGCTAGATGATGCTTGAGACAGAATAGAAAATTGTCAGTTAAATTCTGCTAATGCATTCTTTATTAATAGGGATAATGCCAGAGGCAGAGAGTGTTGTATGTAAATGAATATTTAGATCTTATGTTAAATTTGCAGTACTTGGCAGTTAGAAAAATCTATCTTTTTATTTGTAAACTAGATCCAATGACAGAAAGCATACAGAATCCCATGACATAATTTACCATGGGAAAATGTCACTGATTGTTTTACTAGATCAGAACAATTTCAGTATTAGTCCTTTCTGCTTACTCATAGCAGAATATGACCAATTGCTATTGTATCAAGTAAAAGTGTCTCAGAAAGACTGTGCTCATTCTGCTTACTATGGCAATAATAGCAACCTCATCTCTGCTCAGACCAGAAACAAGAACTTTATTTTTAAGTCGGTCTACTAGTTGCTTTTGATGCTAAAAATTAATTACTTTCACAAGACACTTTAAAACAGTTACTGTATTCAGTTTAGCTGAACAAATAATTTATAATAAATAATATATTGCAAAAGTTCAGCCTCTTCTTTCTTTAGCAGAAAACCTGCAAGTGGATCATTTTCCTCAGATATATTCAGTACTCCTAGTCTGAAGTGCTCAAAAATCATAATTTAGACCCCCCCCAATGTAATTTCTTTAACTTAATCATTTTTAAATAATAAATATTAGATCTTTTTATTTGCTTTCTTTGTTTGAGCCACTGGGGTTCACCTTTTCCAACTTTTTCTCCACAATCACAGACGCTTAAAAAAACCCCTCCATGAAACCTGAGATTCTTACACCTGAAGGAGCTGGATTTTTAAGAAAAACACCAAATATCACAAGACTTGTGATTAAATTACAAGAACTGGTAACACAGCAAAAGTTTGCAAATGTTTTCACAGTAAAGTGATCATGATTTATAAACAGTTCACTGAGAGTACTTGATATTGGACTGATTTTGGTTAGCTGGGACAAGTAACATGTTTCTGCTTCCCAAACAAATGAACTTACAAGTAAGTACTTGTGAAGTGCATACCTGTGAGTGTAAATATAAAATTTAGTTTCTCTGGCTACATATGCCTGAAACTTAGACACGGGCCAAACATGGGGCATGAACATGTCCAAACTGAATTTATTTAAAAATGTAGCTGAATATTCACAGGAATATCACTCAGCTTTAGTAATAAGGCATTTCAGGGATCCAAAATAAGTACTTTTATATTAATTGGAACGTATGCAACATTTGATAAGTAATAAACAATGGAAAAATTATACTATCTGTAGGACTGCTGAAGAGATTTTGTCCTCTACAAATACTTGTTTGAAAATTTTCACTCCCCACTTAAATTCACAATTGGATTCATGTGGGTGGAGCCTTGCACCCACACACAGGTTCACTGAAGTCAGTTCAAGTTCAGCAAGGATTGAAAGGCTCCACCCACATGGATTTATTTGATTATAGGATGGGGCCAAAAATCTTTTGTTTCCCCATCACCTGAATACTTTCACGATACTGATGAAGTATCCTTCACTCAGGCCTTTCTCTAGGATACCTTTTCAAGACTCCATTGTTTGCTTCTCAGTCAATTGACAATGATTTTCCTTAGTTCAGTATGGGAAGTTCCAGAACGTTCCCTCTGAGTTATTATCCAACACTACAGCCCATGAAGACTCTTCAAAGTTTCAATGAATTTTTGACTAGTTGGAAAAAAACTAACATCTCATTGAAAGTTCCTCCCCAAATTTGAGAAAAATAAGAGTTTCACAATTCAGACACCCATCTGCCCCATTTTTCAACCATGTCTGCCTGAGTGTCAACAGCAGCACCAACAATAGAAGCCCAGCCAAAAAGAGCTGCAGGCTGGAAAAAGCTGTTGTATCTTTGTAGGGGCTGCTTGTCTGGGAACCTGAGCTCTGTGTGGGATGCATCTCCCAGGGTAAGGAAGAGACCTAGGCCACTCAGCTCATGAGTGTCACACAGTCCAAGAGCCACCCCAGCCTCAGAGGTGGCCCGACCCGGCTGCGATTACGATAGCTCAGTGCATGTTGAAACCTGCCTTCTCCATGGAGCCGCCTCCCACTGGGATGGGTCTGTCAGCTCCAGAAGGGGCATCTCAACATAGGGATCGGGATGGAACGGTGCCTACTGGGACCTGTCGCCTCCATGGAGCCACCGGCTGCTAGGACTGAGGTGAAACAGAGCGCGCTGAGGCCTGCTACAGCCACACCAATACAAGGAGCAGCGCGCGCTCAGAGCCCCACCCACAAGAGGGCGGTAACCTTTAGCGACTGCTCCAACCCCCCTTCCACTCCACTGAAGGATCGCCATAGTTGTCTTAAGTAAGCCCCACCCACTGCAGGTGGAGTTACACAGGTCCCGCCCCCTGACTCATTTCATTAGCTGGAGTCAGCATCACTCAACCCCGACAGCCGTTCCGAGAATCTAACGGCGTTTTATGCCCCGCTCCCTCTTGGAAGCCACACCTCCAGGTGGCACAGCGATTAACCGGCAAGGCTGTCAATCATAGATCTCGTGGAATGTGATTGGCTAAGTCTGGCTTGTGGGCGGGTAATTGGGGGGACAGCGGTGTTTACCGTGCGTGAGGTGAGGAGGCTGTTAAGAAAGAACCACCATCCCTTTTCTGGACCCGGACCACTACCTAGGCCCTTGGGGGCTACCACCACCATGGGGCTCCGGAGGAAGAACAAGAGCCCGCCCGTGCTAAGCCATGAATTCGTGATCCAGAACCATGCGGACGCCGTGTCCTGCCTGGCTATGGGCCTCCTGCTGGGGCTTATGTTCGAGGTACGGGGGTTGGGAGCTTTGCCTGCGGCTGCCGAGCGGGGAATACCCGCCCCAATCGAGCCGTGCACCGGCACTTCCGAGCTGCCCCAACCCTGCAGTTCTCCGGGCAGCGACCGAGCCTCATCCTTACCCTCTCTCACTACTGGTCACGCCCCTGCTTCTCCTGCCTCCCCAGCGCCTCACCTTATGACACACCCCGGCTCTCATCTTCCCCCTTCACTCCCCCATAGTGGGGCAGGCTGCCCCACTGTCATGGCTGTCGCCCCCCGCGGGCCCTTCATGCTCGCTCGTTCCCTTCTGCTCCATCTGCCAGACCCCATATCATACGCCCCAATTCCATCTGACTCTCCTCCCCTAGTCCTCGCCCTGCCCTCCTGGATCCCCATTGCCACACAACTCCTTTCGCATCTGCTTCACCTGTATTCCTTCCCAACAAGCCCCTCATTCCCATTTATCCTCCTGGAGCCAAATCTGCCCTTTCTCTTCGGCTTGGTTTGTCCTTTTTCTTTAAAACTTTCCAGTGGTGGAAACATGAGTAAGAGTGCTATTGTAGACAGAGCTCCAGGTGGACACTGCTGTTTTAACCACCATATTGTCTTGACCTGTTCTGAGCAGGGTTGGATGACATTGCAGTTAAAATGCTACTGGCAGTCCATCTCTATTATTGCTGCTTCTGTTGCTCTCACTGACTCAGGTCTACCAATGATGAGGAATCTGGGGAAAAATGCTAGTGTGGACACAGCCTTAAACTTGTCTCCAGATCCCTCCTCTCTTTTATGTATTTTAAAGTTCTGTTAATAAAGTTAGATTTCCTAATTAAATGAAGGTGTCACCTTTTCATCAACCTCTTTGGGTGCCTTGGTTGAATCTTCTAGGCTTTGTTCTCTGGGATAAAATTGTTGTGTCATGATGCTGTATGTGTACATTGTGTCAGTCTGGAAGATGGTTAGTTTGATTTTATTACCTCTCTGAAGAATGGGACTACCCAATGAACCAGATAAGGCAGATTGTTTGCCTTTTGTTTGGGGTTTTATGGATAGTTGGGAAGGGGAGTTGGCAGGGTTGTGGAGGGAGACATGGTTTTCCAAGCTGTGACAACTGATGTTTGGGAGAGGTGGTAAGTATCTTACTGAAACAATCTCAACATCACTCATCACTTGAGCAAGATTTAAAATAAAACTACTTAAAGATGAGAAAACGCTTTGAAATACTTGATTGAAAGGTTCTATATACTGCTAAGTAATATCTTTAAAGGTTCATTCTTCTTTACTGCTATGCTAGTCCTGTAGACTTCAGAGCATTATTATGCTGGAAGAGGGTGGAGAATGGAGTCCTGATAATCAAATAATGTTCCTCTAAATGAATGATGGATGCTGAGTTGGGTGATACTGTAGTCTGCTGCATCAGAAGGGTACAAATTGAAGGAGATACATGATGCAGAACTTGAATGCAAAAAGTGCAGTTGTGGAAAATCAGTACTTAAAACAGGAGATTGGAGGTGGGGAAAGAGAAGGACGGTTCAGATGACAAACTTTGATTCTCCTATGAGGACTAATGATTTGTTTTTTGTTTTAATGTGAATCCCAGGAATATGAGATAAAGTGGATGCATTGGTCAAAAGTTAGAATTCTAGATGTCATAAATTAAAGCTCTGGGATCAAGGTGTGGGAGAGAGGGGAGGGGAGTTTTTTGTTTGGGTTTTTTAGTCTTAAGTACCAGTTTTAAAGAGACTGGTTTATTTTTTGGCTGCTAAAAAAATACAGTTTGTGAAATTGTGTTTGTAAATTCTTACTTGTTCAAATACAATAAGGTCTTGTGCAAACACAGAAGTTTACAGACCTTGTAGCATTGACACAGTTATACTGATATAGCTTATTCCTGTACAGGAAGGAGAATAAGCAGTATAAGCACTTCTACACCAGTATAATTGCATCAATAGTAAGGTTAAACCAGTTTTAACTATGATCAATAAAATATCATACCCCTAACTGACCTAGCTATAGTAATACAAAACCTCTAGTGTAGTTTGTGCTGGGAATAATCAGCTGCATTCTGTGAAAAATATTTTCTGATCTGTCCTCCTGTCTGATGCAAAATATATCTACATAGTGGTATTGCAGTCAGTTAAAATGATACAAAATAGGTAAAGATACAATGATCCTATGTAGCAAGATAATTTTTACGTAGCAATGCAATTTTTGGGAAAGTTGATTGAGAAACCTGTAACTACTTGGTTCCTGATGACCATGAGCAAACATTATTATAGGATCCACTTGGCCTTCATTTGGAGTAGGCTGTTCAGATCTTTCATGACATGACAAGAAGATTTCAGATCAGGGTCACTTGATTGTTCTGATGGTGCTTACACCTCAACGGTTGTTGATGAGATCGTCGTTTGAAAAATCTATTCATCCTGGAAAGTGAGAACCTGGCCCTGATGAGTAAGGAAATATATGCTAACAATTTACTAATTGAATTTTAAAATTAAAGCTTAAGTTTCTAGCCCTTATAATTCAGAAGATAGCAATCTGATTGTAAAACAATAGTGTCATCTTCCTGACTCTGAAGATAGGCAGCTGCAGAATTAAATCAACAAAATTTCCTCAATTCAATTTCCTCAAATTCTTTCTCATACTTGTGCTGCTGCCCCAGGGATCTCCCTGCATAGGTGTCCTTAGAAAGTTGTGGGTTTTTTTGTGTGTGGCTTTTTTTTGGTGTGTGTGGTTTTTGTTTTTTGTTTTTGTTTTTTTTACAGGCAGTATTTCCTGTTTATGGTCTCTGAATTTTGCATATATCTTCAAGTGCCATGAAAAATAGCTACTGTCTTCAGTCTCTTCAGTAATGTATTTAGTAGAAATAGATTGTATGGCACTTATTTAAAGCCCATTGATTGACTTAAAAAAAACAGACCTTAAATATTAATGACAGAACTGGAAGTGTCAGTTAGTCTAATCTCTCGTTGCTTTGAGGACATGTGTTCCTTATAACTTTATAAAACACAAACTTTTGCTACAAAAGTAAATTGTCTACTAGCATTTGCATTCTCAAGGAAACTCTTATCAAAATGCATGCTTCTTATGTAATAGTAGATTAGGCGGCTTAAATGTTTATTGCAGGATAACTGTGAAAGGCCCATTTGTTTCTTGCCTCATTACATTTTATATTTACCTTTAATTGATTCAAATAACTGTTGAAGATATGAAATCCATCCTGCTAATTAGAAGGAAATATGAGTTTTAGAAAACTGTTAGTTTGACCGGCTTGAGAATTTATTGGCAGAGTCCTGACTGCTATTTATAGTAACTCAGGTTTTGGATATCTATGCTACCTCTTTCCTATCTTCTGAAGGAATGGAGGGCCATTTTGTAAAGTTTGTATTATATTAATGCGGTAAAGTATGGTCATCTGCATGGTCTGTCAAAGCTAAGGCGTTAAGACTGTAGTTGTAGAACTTAGATGCCTTCACACTAAAGTATTTGGGTGTACCAAATTTTCTTCTGTCAGAGATAAAATTCATGTTCACATCTAGCACTTTTACAGGAAAATTAAGAGCATATTTCTCTATTACATCCCATGTAAAACCTATGTTAAAAATATTACGGGTGCAAAGTCAAGCACTCAAAAGTTGGAAAATGCCAGAATTAAGGTTGCTCATACAATATACATATATATTATGATACAATCTTAAATTACATGACCATGTACTATTTTTTTTTAAATAGGACAGTTGCCCCATTCATTGCACAGTGTGGACAGTGCTTGCTGAATGGTTACCTATTCAGTATTTCTCTTTGTTCTCATTATTTGGTATATGTCTTCCATGCCATATTTACTGCACAGCATCCAAACCCTGCACTCAATACAGAACTATTGATTTCCTCATGGGTTTTTCTGTGGTACTGATCATGAAGCACTCAGTACCATAAACTTATCTTCATAACATATCCTTTGAAGTGTGGATGGGGAACTGAGGCACAAAGAGACGAA